GGGGGGGGGTGAGAGAGGGAGAAAGAGAACCTGATGGTTTCAATAAAAATAATACAGTGGACTCAGCAAATTAAACCTTAAGTTTGAACAAGTAATTCATATCATATTAATTTTCTTCACAGTGCCTTTCTTCTTGCATAAGAGACACTCAAACCAGGAGCGTTTAATTGATCTCCATGATGGTTCCAAAGCACTTTCCTGTCTATCATGAAAACAACAACAGGATACTCAAGAGGTCATATTCAGTCCAACTCAGTGAATCTCCTTAGCATCTACTTTGTGCCTGATGCTGTGCTAGCAGCTGTAAGGAATTCAAGGATGCAGCCACTTCCAGGGGGGGAAAGATGCACAGATTTAATCTACAAGTGCACGTGTGGTGGCCCTTTATACAGCCAGCACTGTTCCCCGCACTGTGTTACCCAGAGAGGAAACTGAGAGATGAAAAAAGTGTTCAGTCATTAGTGGCCTTAGAATCCAGTTGGGAATAGTAGACAGAAAACCTTACACATAGGAAAGAAGTAGAGTAGCCATTAATCCTAAGCTGTAAGTGCAGCTAGGTTTCAGAGAAGAAAGAGAACGAGGTGGACTGTTGCATTTGGAATAGAGGTGGGAGGGAATTTCAAGACTGGGACTAGAAGGGTGTGTAAGATTTATATAGACAGAGGAGAGGAGAAAAAGTATTCCTAGGAGAATGAGGAAAAAGTGAACACGGGCACAGAGATGGGAATGGGTGGGCATGACGAATGTTGGAAGCAGCAAAAAGAGTTATCAGGACGTGAAAAAAAGAGGTGTTGCCTTGGCCAGTGTGGCTAAGTTGGGAGGGTGTCCTCCCATGCACCAAAAGGTCCCTGGTTCAATTCCAGGTCAGGGCACATTCCCGGATTGTGGGCTCAATCCCAAGTAAGGGCCTTGCAGGAGGCAGCTGAGCCTTGCAGGAGGCAGCTGATCAATGTCTCTCTCTCTCCTCTCTCTCTCTCTCTCTCTCTCTCTCTCTCTCTCTCTCTCCCTTCTCTCTCCCCCCCTTCCCCTCCCTTCCCCTCCCTAAAATCAATAAAAACATATGCTTGTGAAAGAACTATTGGCAACATCATAGAAGTGGCCTCATGGGGCCACGAAGGGCACAGTGGACTAGGAATCAGAAGGCCGGAAGGTCCAGAGGTTTTACCTTAGCTCTGCACTTACTACCTGGGTGGCCTTGGTTAGGTCAGTTAGCTGCTCCCTGCCCTGCTGCCCTGGCTTACTCTCTGTTGTGTCAGGATACTGACAGTAGCCTGCCGCTCTCTCATGCTTGATGTGAAAACAATAAGAGATGGTGCCTGAAGAAGTGTTTGTTTTTTTTTAAAGAGTGAAAAATCAAGACCAGTTCTTCCATTTTGTATTACATCAATGTGGTAAAGAAATGGTTCCTGAGTATACAGTAAGTAGGATTTGCTTTCTATTGGGCTCAGGCAGGTTATTGTGTGTGTGGAGGGGGTGGGGGGGACAGGGGTTGTTGATTAATTGATATGAAGGCATTTTTTGTTCCTGGGGAGTGCCAGACCCAGGAGTCTGGACACGGGGAGATGGATCGGCCACGTGAGAGGTATTTCTTTGGTTCTGTTCTGGGTTGTATGAGACCATAAGCTCTCTGAAAGAGGTCACTGGTCTCTGATATCAGATGAAACAGGCGACAAAACTGTACATGAAGACCAGTGGGGTGTGGTGGAAAGAGACCTGGATCTGGAGTGTAATTTATCTGAGATAAGTTTAAATATTTGAACATAAGCAAGCAACTTCCTCTCTTTGGGCCTCGGCTGCCTCATCTGTCAAACTGAAGTAAAAACAGTACCTGTCCCACTTCCTTATAGAGTGGTTGTTATAAGGATCAAATGCGCACGTGAGAGGTTTCTGTAAATTCTAAAATGGTAGGCCAACACGGCTTGTTTTTCTTATTGATAAATGAAAACTGAGTTTTCTGGTCAGTTACAATCTACTATTTTAGCATGCTCTGTCCTCACTTCAGAAAGGCTATATTTCAGAAAGCTAGCTGTACCTTAACACAGTATCCTGTGCTGACACTGACTCAAAATAAGAATTAACAATAAAGATTTTTAAAAAGGAAAAAAAGAAAAAGAAGGGAAAGTACATCAAAACATAAAAAAGTAAAGCACACTCCCACTTGGGCTTAGGGAAGGCTACTTGCCGGTACTCTGGCTGCAGAGTTGGAGGGAGGCCCTTGGGCAGTGGATAACAGTTCTTTCCCGCCACAATGTGATGAAACACAGGAAAAAACTCAGGCAGGGCCAGGGCTCCATCACAGTCAACATCACTAAGTTCCCATATATAAGATACTGAAGTCAGGCTGAATTCTTAGGGTTTCTATATAATTAAATCAGAAGCCCAATTCAGGATGAAGATAAAAGAGCTATTTGAAAAATTAAAAAGTTTGTATCTGCATTTAAAGGCAAGGGAGAATTGCCTGACCTCTATTTTACTCGATGTGATCGCTTGCTTTATGTAGGCAAGAACACAGGGTTCAACAGGGTTTTCAGAATATCCCTGTTACAAAAGTGTTCCTACTCAGACTCACTGCTTTACAAATCTAACATTAGTCTAGATAAAACTGTACCAGTTTAATGTCCTCTCAGTACTAGCATTGTAGCCCTAGCAGGATTCCTCTGTCCCTCTGCAGGAAAACAAAAAACAAAGAACAACGAAAGTAAAACAAAACAGTGGGCTTCTTTGATTGGGTCTTAATTTCATGTGGTTGTCATTTTGTGTCAAGTTACACAAAATGTCTCACTCACAGACAGGGCACACAAGGGGGTGGAAGAGGACCAGAGTTTTGCAAGAGAGTACTTAGAGAGTGTCCTTAGAAGGCTGTGGATCTCCCCAACCAAGGGAGAGGGATGTAAAGTGGGTCCTCTCTTCACATCCACTCAAGCAAGCAAGAGGGTCTTCAAGAAGACCACTTCTTAGAACTTCCCGTGTGTCCCTTCTCTAGTAGGGACCTACCAAGAAGTGCTGTGATGTGGCGCCAGGAGCACGTGGCAGAGCTCATAGGCCCCACCCCCTAGCTAGAGCCAGGTCTAGGATCCAGCCATTGAGACGTCACGGCTGCAGCCACTGTTTCCCAGGAGATGCCACAGACATCTCCCGAGAGTCTCAGAGCAAAGCCAGAGAGTCCTTGGCCCTGACCTGAGACCCTCCCAGCGAGGCTCCGGCCTCCACAACCCCACCCTTATCCTTGCCTAACTCCCTAGCGGCAGATTTCCTCGGACTCTCAGAGGAAGGAGAGAAAAGAAGGCCTCATGAGTGAGGCAGGAGAGGCCACCCTCAAGGAGGTAGCCACCTCAGTCTTCCCTCAAGCCGCGCAGAAAGATCCGTCGTCCTTGGGAGGTGGAGATTTTCTCCAGGCCCTAGTCACCAGCAGCCTCAGCGGAGACTCCATCCCTGAGGCCACCGAAGCAGCTGGAGCCAAGAGTCAAGCGCCCAAGACAGTCGTCGCCAAGAGGGTGAGTGGATCCGTCAAGTGGTTCAATGTGAAGAACGGGTACGGTTTCATCAACAGGCATGACACCCAGGAAGATGTGTTCGTTCACCAGACAGCCATCACCCGGAACAACCCCCACGAGTATCAGCGCAGCGTGGGCGATGGCGAGACTGTTGAGTTCGACGTGGTGCAGGGCAAGCAGGCACCGAGGCTGCTAACGTGACGGGGCCAGATGGCACCCCAGTGGAGGGCAGCCGCTTTGCTGCCAACCGCCCCCTCTTCCGCCGCGGCTTCTACATCAGCTGTCGCGCGCCACAGCATCGCGGTGCCAGAGGCGCTGAGGAGAATGTTGACGACGGCGTGGGCAGCAGAGAAGACTTCGCCTTAGCCCAGGGCCAGAGGCGCCGCCTGCCCAGCCGCCCCCGAGGCCAAGGGCTGCGGCGCTTTCCGCCCTTCCGCAGGGCCGCGGCGGTGACCTGCCGCCCTTCTCTCGTTGTTCCCGCCAGAGGCCCGCGGGCCGCCCAGCTGTCTGGGTCAGGCCCAGCCGTAAGGCTCGAGGGCTCGACGCCACGCCGAGGGCCTGGCCCTAGCTACCGGATGAGTCGCCCTAGGGGCCGAGGCATTGCCCCTGGTCCGAAGTCCTCTGAGCTGCTGGAGGCAGAAAACAAGGGGAGCAGGAGCGATGCCGGCGGCCTGCCACAGAGGACCCGGCAACGCTATGCATTCCGTCGCCCCAACAACCGGCGACACCGCCCGCAGCAGCTGCCTGGCGCCCATGGCCAGAACCCGGAAGGAGGAGAGGGCAAGATCCCGAAGGGCCCAGCTGGAAAACCCGCTTGCGTTGCTAAGAAGAGCAGCACCTCAGAGGAGGATGCCACAGTTGCAGATGCCACGTCTGCTGCTCAGGCCCAATGACAGACAGTCAGGCTCCCTCCCAGGGACTCCCTGGCCTGGGCTGCAGGTGATGTCTCCTTGAGGAGATGGTGCCCTTTGGCGCCACACAGTCCAAACATCCATATTGACTGTTAGATCTATGCCTGAGAAAAATACACAGCCCTTCCCGAAGGTTTGAGGATAAACTACAAGATCTGTATATTTCTCGACTCCCTCTTACCATCTGCCTTGAGAGAAGCACACACACACACACACACACACACACACGCGCGCGCACACACACACACACACACACACCCCCTCTGTATCCATTCTTTTAAAATATCTGACCAGGATCACAGCTATGATTCTACAACCCCAGGTGAATTCGTTGGAGGGCTTTAAAAATATTGTTTCTAGTGCAAAAACAAGATTATCTGACATTGTGTGATATTATTCACACCCCCCCCTCTGTATCCATTCTTCTAAAATATCTGACCAGGATCACAGCTATGATTCTACATCCCCAGGTGAATTCCTCAGTAAATCATTTCATGTTGATTTTTATCTGTTATTACTGTTGTCTGATTTTTTTAAAAGCCTGCCAGCATATAACTGAGAACTGTACTGAGACAGTCCTTTCAGTCCGTTTATCAGAACCAATTTTGGCAAACATCATACCTGTCATTCTTTTTACAAGTCACAAACTTAAGACTAATTCTGGGTTTATGCATTGAACTTCTCAGGATATTCTAAAGGATGAGAAGCGTCCCCATCACTTTCTTTTTCACCACTCCCTTCCCACTCTGCATTTGAGCAATAAGTCTGGAGGGTGGGCCCTTCTACCCACCCTTAATGCTTGGGTGCTCTCTGAGGCAAAACACAGAAAAACTGAGCAAAACATCATGACAAGCAAGGGAATACAGCTCTCCGGAAACAGAATTTGCTTCCTCTGCATTTTTTTTTTTTTTTCTTTCAATGGATTTGATCTAATACCATTTAAATATTTAAAAGAAAATGGACATGAAGGGCTAGAGGGTGGGGAAATGGGAAAATGTTGGTCAAAAAGTACAAACTTTCAGCTATAAGATGAATATGTTCTGGGGACCTAATCTATAGCATGGTGACTTGGTTAAAGATACTCTTTGGCATACTTGAAAGCTGCTATGGGAGTACAGCTTTAGTGTTCTCCACATAACAACAACAACATGGTAATTATGTGAGGTGTAGGGTGTGTTAATTATCCTTATCTTGGTAAACATTCCACAGTAAATGCATGCATCAAATCACCATATGATACATCTTAAATTTACACAATGTTAAATGTCAATTATATCTCAATAAAACTGGGGGGGGGACACAAATCGAGGCACGACTTGGCAGAGAAAAAGGCATATATAACTGGTTAGATACTTTCTATTTTTCGTCCTTAGGAATATTCTGGAATATTAAATATCTTGCTCTTTGTTTCTTTTCTTCCTTCCCCCATTCATGACTAAGCTTTCCATTTTATCATCTAAGTGACTAGTTTACAATGGACACTGCNGGGGGGGGGGGACTGAAGAAAAAAAGTGTGCATGGACGCAGGTATAATTATTGTTTTGCATACCTCTGGAGCTGAAGAGAAACATCTAGTCCATAGTTTCTATCTTTGCTTCCTGGTTAAGTCCATCCGGAGAGGCCTGTGGAGGATTCATGGAAGGCTGAGCAAGTGAGGTTTAGCCCACCCCTGGCTCTTTCCCATCAAACATAGAAGCTCCGACTTCCCTATCCTGGTTTTCATTTGAACATATAGTGGGGTTGGTGGGTGAGAGGCAAGGGTTGGGTTTAGGTGGAGTGGGTAATCAATAAAGTTGAAGCCAACAGGAGTCTTTAAAACCTCATTTTACAAAGTAAGGAAATTGGATCATCAATAGCAAAGTCAAAGTACTTTTCTTATTTTAATGTTCAGGCGTTTTACACCACATTATAGACTAGCATAAGAGATTAGGAGAGTGAGTATTCGATCATTCAGTATGGCTAAATATCCTCAATCAATTTGAATAGAGACAGTAGAGATCACTCATTCAACAAATATTGAGATTACTCATTCAGCAAATATTTGTGCCAGACACTCTGCTAGGTTCTAGGAGTTGCATCATGGCAAAGAAGATGGTCCCTACTCTCAAGGAGCCCAAGGTCGAGTGGGGAGTGAGACAAAACTGACAATGACTACACGATGGAGTGAGTGCTCTGCTGAGAGAGGAAACTCAGGTGATCCAGATGATGGCAGGGTTGCCACCAGGTTAAAGGAACCACGACTTGGATACTTGAATTTAAAACTATATCTTGGAGTCGGGTCCAAGATGGCAGGGTAGGACACAGGGAATATACACCTACATATAGGGCAATTCCTCCTAATCAACAAATGAGAGAGGGACCACATAGAGAAGGGCAGGAGAGACTGAGATGGGGTAAGCAAGGGAATCTCACCCCAGTGGGGAGACCTGCGGTGGAGAGGGATATCACTGAGGGGCTGGGGAGGGCAGACTCGCCTGTTATGAGGCACAGTGATAAAACAGCGATTTAAAGGGCAACTAGACTATACATGAAGATAATCCATTTACAAACCCCAAGGCACCTGCCAAATAAATGTGTGCGGAACTTGCAGGAACTCACTTGGATCTGAGGAGCTGGCAAACGCCATTGTTGACATTCCCCCTCCCGCTAGATGGCGCTCCAGCCACTCTGCAAAGCCTCCACAGCGTACCCCCGCCCTCTCTCTCCGCCATGCACTAGAGGCAGCCTCAGGGAGCCAGCCTCCCAGGGCACCCCCAGAGGCCCCCATCCTAGGCCTCTTGCTCTGCAACTGCTGCAGCCCAGGCCAGCTGGCCCACCAGGGCACCCTGCATTAACTGCAGCCCCAGCCTGCCAGCCCCCCAGAGCCTTGCATCGCAGGCCAACTCAAGGAGCACCTGCTGCAGACCCATTCACCCGGGCCCCCAGTAAGCCCCCTGGAGCCGCATACCCCTGCCACCCTGACCGTGCGACCCCTGCGGCCCCAGGAGCCCAGCGCCACGTTCCCTGCAGCCCCAGAAAACCGGCCCACCGGGGCACCCCAGGTGCCCCATGCACCTGGCAACCTCAACTAGAACTTGTTGACGGCTCCCCCAGGCGCCCCCTAGCTACATGCCCAGGGTTATCTCAGCCAGAGATGGCTGCAGCCCCTGCTAGCCAGACCCTCAGGGTAGAGGGCATAAGCATTGTGAAGAGGGGAATTGAGGAAGGAAGTATTCAGGTAAGTGATGGGGAGGGTATCTTTAACTTATCACTCAATTCCATGAATTTAGATTTAAGTTTAATGTATACAAGCCTCACATGAGCTTCCTACTATAAAAAGTAATGTAAACAGAGCCACTTTAAAATGGAGCTGGAACTGCCATCCCAGAGGACCTGCCTTGCATGTCTTATGCCTCAAACCTTTGAAATGTTAAAACAGGGCAAAATAACATTTGGACTGGGCCTAAACCAGCATTATGTCCTAAAGAACTGTTTGCAAAGATAAGAAAGTAGATATTATTGTTATAGGATAGTAAGAGACTAGGGAAGTTCCAGGGCAGGAGGAATATGGAAACTGAGGCAGGAAAATTAAACAAAGCCAAAAAGCTTTGCAGGCCGCTTGTAGCATGACCTTATTCTGAGAACAAAGGGTTAAAACCTCTCCTTCTCACAAAAGAATGCTGGAGAGGAGAGGGAACGGAAGGGGGAGAGGAGGAATCTTAATTCAAACTAATCAGAGAGACTACTTAGTGGGAATCATCCTGAAGCTGTTAAAACAGCATGGAGGAGGGGAAAAGAAGAGGGCCCATTGTTTCAACAGTGAAGTCAGTGGTCTTGGGTTTGTCAAGATAAAGTTACCAGGTACTTCTCATAAATTGCGGGAAAACCATAACAAGGAGTTAACCTGTACCAGGATATCTGGCAGAGGAATATTTTTAATCTTATAGACAAGTGGGTATATAAGGCAGAAACCCCCATCCCACTTGCTCTTCAGATTAAGCTGAGAGCCCCTCTGTGCTTCATAAGCCAGATATATAGATTTGCTTGCCTTGCTTCGCTGATAACTGTGTATGCTTTAATTTTTTTAATTCATTTGCTTTAATGTTTTAATAAATTCACTTTATCACAACGCAATCACAATCTCTCGTATAAAATCATTTCTATGAGAAGACAAGAACCGAGGTTGGGAACAGCCCTCTCCCATTGACTCAGGGGGCTCTCCAATCACACCTCTCTGGTGTCTGTGAGAGGTGCCTGTAACATTATGACTACAGGACTGATGGCTACTACACTGAAAATAAAAATAAAAATGTTTAGAGCAGCACCACTTATGTTAGCTTCTCTGCACCAACAGAAAAAATGCTTTCCTTCTATTGATGTAATTTTTAAAAATTAAATCTCAATATTTTTTCATGGACCAGTGTCCCCTGGAACCAGGTATGGTTCCTACTGGGCATACTCTTAATCAGAAATAATGGTGGGAAAGCAAAAATTTTATGTTTTATTAAGATAATTTCCTTTCTCCTCAGATCTATAATTGCTTCAGTTAACTGAGTCTTCTTATTATTAAAAGAGCTAAATTTTTCTTATGACTATTTAACTTTCTGTGTCTTCCTGAAGTCTTTAATTCTCACCATGCTTACGTGAATAACTTAAATATTGTTCCACAATGACTTATGATTCTATTTGACCAAATGTTTTAAAACTTTTGATATGTTTGACAAATTTCCCAAGATGCAAAAATTAGTCTCTGTCTTAACCTTTGAGATTTTAAAGAACTTTGAGATTTTTCAGAAGGATCCCTGAGACATTTCAAAGAACATCTTATATTTTTTAAAAAAATATCAATATTAACATAATTAGACTTAATGGTATGTTAAATTACGTGGGAAGCATTGCCAAATAAATGATGCTAAATCTTTTATTATATAAAATTCCTAAAATTCTGACATGTCCTGGTATAATGCTAAAAAATTGCAGCATTTTTCTGTCTCTTAAAGTTG